TGTATAATGTGTCTGTTTTAAGCTAAGCGTTAATACAAAAGAGTCAAAAGTTTAAAAAAATTAAAAAGTACAAAGTAAAAAGTTACAATAAGCTAACGTTAATTGAAAAAAATTTTTTAATTTAGCTTTAGTATACAGTATTTATAAAGTCTACAGTAGTGTAATGTCCTAGGCCTTCACATTTACTCACTACTCACTCACTGACTTACCCAGAGCAACTTCCAGTCCTGTAAGATTTATGATCAGTGCCCTATACTGGTGTATTATTAGTATTTTTTATCTTTTATACTCCATTTTGACTGTACCATTTCTATGTATAGATATGTCTAGATACACAAATGCTTATGATTGCATTACAGTTGCCTACAGCATTCAGTATAGTCTATGCTGTACAAGTTTGTAGCTTTGTAGCAATAGGCTATAACCTGGGTATGTAGTAGGCTATACCATCTAGGTACACTCCATAATGTTTACACAATGATGAAATCACCTAATGATGTATTTCTCAGAACATATTCCCATCATTAAACAACACAACTGTATCCCAAAATCAAAAAATAATCTGAAATTCAAAATATTTCTGGCCCCAGACATTTTGGATAAGGGATATTCAACCTGTATAAAATATAGTATATAAAAATTAGACCAAATCTTGTCCTCAGGGAGTTACAATTTGTAAGTGCATTAGTTAACTGTTTAAAAAAAAAAAATCAAGCCATCCATGATGATCTATTTCTTTTGTAGTATACATTTTCCTAGCTCTTTTTCCTGTTAAAATCCATTACTTTTACAATAATAATCATTCAAACATTAATAACTAATTAAAAAGTCTCTTATGGAAACTTTTTCCTCAACAACTCCAACCTTCTTCCATATCACTAGCCCCTCTTCCACTACCATTCCCTACCATCCTCATTTCTCGTTTCCTCACATAGAATTGCTCTCTTCAAATTTTTTCCGCTAATATGACACTTTGTATATTGGGCTATGATTATATCTATACATCCATATTGGTCTGTCTTACGAGACTATAATGTCATTGAGGACAAAGGCTTTGTCTTATCCATCTTCAGATCCCCAGTATCTAGTCCAGAATATCACATATAATTTTTTAAATTCAGTGTAAGATTATAGTTCTTTAACACAGTTAACCTTATGTAGCCAGCTTTTCAGAAGTTCCATTTATATTGTTATAGTTTCCTGTTCAACAAATTTGTTTTCATATTGCTACTACTTTCTAACATACTATATAATTTATCTTTGTTGTTTTATTCCACTGGAATATAAGTCCCATGAGGGTAATTTTTTTTCCAGTTTTGTTGGATCTCAAATACCTCACAGGAGAGCTGTTACATAATAAGAACTCAATTAAACTCTTTTTGAATGGTTAAGGGCCTACAATAGATGAGGAACAATAGAGGGTGTTCTTAACTATAATGGTGTAGTGTGCTAGAAATAAGGCAGATCTTTCTCTTTTAGCTCTATAGGTTGCCATAAAATTCTGACTTAAAGCTGAAGGAATTAGAAAGGTTCTCTTTCATCCCTTTGGATTTTATTTTAACCTTAGCCTCTAGCCCATAAGGAGAACTACCTTAGCTATTACTGATAGTTATACATTGTTGCCTAATTGTCAGGAGAAGGAGGAAACAAAAGACATGTATAAGCCAGCTATATGTTATAAACATGTATAGACCATTTACCTCGTCATGTGGTCTTTGGCAGCTGCGAACCACGCAATGTACTGTAGTTCAAATATAGGAATACAAGACATAAGGGAAGCCAGCTTTATTCTGTGTCAAGATGTGTTTATATTTCCAGAATTTCATTGCCCCTGGTCTTACAAAATGGAAATAAAGTTATCCACAACTAGAAAATTGCAAGCTTATGTAACTATATTTCGTAGATGGAAGGAAAAGGCTGACAGGCAGTAAAACAAGATTCTAGTCTTAGCTTTCCAAAAAAGAGCCATCTGAGCCTTTTAAGCAATTAATGGAACAATCTGAGCCTTGGCATTCACAGTTATAAATTAATTTAAATAACTTCATTTACACAATTATGAGGATCTCTGAATATATATGTA